TGTTCAACCATTCTATCCACTTTGTTAGTGCAGCATAAGGTATTTCCAACAATCATTTTTTCCCTCTGAAATATGTCACGTCTAGAAATTTGATGTAGCTATTTAACCTTAAAATTATGCTCTATTACACCCAGAATCTTTTGGTCGTAAGAATTACAATAGCGGAACAAGTTTAAAACAAGTAGGAGAGAAAACGTCATGGCCATCGAACCCCTAAACTTTGATAGTGCCGATTGTGGGTACAAGCTCCACTGACCACTGTCCGACTCATATTGGGTAGCGTTCATTCACTTTGTGGTAGACGATTGAAGATCACCAGCTAATCACCACTACAAATAACCGTAACCGTTTCCCCATTCATTCCTTCTCACAGGTGAAATTCAGGCCGAACCCCCCCCCCCCCCTCCTCCTCCTCCCGCCCTGCGAAGCTCAGGAGACTGGGCCCGGCTGGCTCCGTCTCAGAGCTCCGATGATGGCCGAGAGGAGCAGCTGAGCGGCAGGGCCTGGCACGGACCTGCCTGACCAGAGGATTAACCCCGGCCACGGCAGCGGGATTTGCCAATGAAAGTGCAGCTGGGGCAGCGGAGGAGACGCGGGGACGCTCCGAGGCTGGCCTTGAATCCGGCGGCAGGATCCGGCAGATCGCGGACAGCTGCGCCAGCGGGGTGGTACAGGATTCTTGCTGGACTCGGACCGAGTCCGGAGGCATGGTCATGTGACCCTGGGGGACAGGGTCAAGGACAGGGATCTTCTCTTGAACTGAACATCTAAAGAAATGGAGGGCGCCGAGGGAAGACTGTGCACGGGAACAGAGCGAATAGCTATGTACATATGCTTCGAGACTATCATATGTAAACAGCTACTGTAAAAAGAGCATCTTTCTAACGTTCTTTGAGATGCTAAGTGATCCCGCTATAAAACATGCAGTAATCCACCTCCGCAGTTATACGTAAATGATGTAAGTACCTATGAGCTTCTAGCAAAAAGGGCATGCAAATCCATCTGTCAGGCATTTCTGGTAGTTTCAGATAACACATGCTGATAAGGGTAATGCAGGCGTCTGACTCACTCCTCGGAATGCTGAACAAAGACGAGGGAGGCGAGATTTTCACTGATGTGTCACGGTCAGATGGGGATTCTGGCAGACGCTCGTGCTGCAAATCGACTACCGTTCAGCACAGATATCTCGATATCCCTGCAATGGACGTTCCACATAAAAAGCTCTTTTTATAATGCATGACCATATACTTCTGTATACCGTATACGGAGGAGAATGTATGGTTTACAGAGGTCTGTGATACAGAAGTAAGATTTTACAGAGTTGAGATTTTACAGTGGTCAACAGAAGTCAGATTTTACAGAGGTTAGATGTTCTATGTCCAGTTTAGGTATACAGAGATCTATGGCGTATAAATGGATAAACTAACACAGTTGTTTCTTATATGTAGATTGTAGAGGTACCAAAAGTCTTTTTTTTGTAAGTGTTCCTTGCTCTTTACAATTCGTCTCTCATTCCATACATTGCAACAATCCTCTCCGTTTTTTTCCGAGACGGACAACCTCTTGTGCATAGCATGATGTAATAGCCTGAAACATTAAGTCGGAAACCAACTGCGTTTAACTGGCAGCAGGTGATTGTGCCTCATGCGAATGTCATTAGCACAGTTCTGCAAAATGCCAGCTCTACGTGTTTCTCTGTGGGAGCCAGCAGTTGTCTGCAGATGCACTACACCAGTGCAGGGACACCGTCAAACACACCAATCGGGGACGGCCGCCCGCGGCTCTGTGACGTCACACTCCTCTCCGAGGACCTCCACTGATCCGGGGAGGAATGTCCCCGGCCCCACGAGCACCGGGTGGGGGTGGGGGGTGGGGGTGGGGGTCGGATTACCTAGCTCACCGACCTTGGCTGTGACAGCCATGAAGTCGGCTGACCACAACCACCATCTCGATGGTGCGTCGTCCACCAAATCTGACCACAGTCACTGGCACCAAGGTGGACATCCTGCGTGGGAGCTTGCTGCCTTTTCCTCCAATGGAGGCGATGGAACTGAATTCAAGACTCGATTTACGAATGTAGCAGCGCAGATGCTCAGAAGCGTAAGCGTATATCGCAAGCTCGACCGACAGGCACTTGAGACTCAAAGCACTCCGAGCATTCCATTTTGAAACGCATCTGTCTGACAGCATATGATGAGTGTTAGAAGTATCAATTGCTTCACTTCATGATGCATGGAAACGCCAGTCATTATCATCGTTTTCAGGATGCAGACATAAGCGGCTGTGTGGCACTGTCGCCCAACGGAAAATCCAGTTTTTACATAATCTACTGAAATATCCTTGAGAGACATGTCCAGGCAGCGGTGACTTTTGAAGAAAAAAAAATATTTGGACAGGTGTCGTTAACGGATATGTGTGCTGGCTTGTACTCAATGTTGTTAAGGTTTACATCTGAAATGCGTAGGTACAACAATACATTGTTCCAACAATAATGCTGACTTTAAATTCGAGTATATTCCCGTGCGTGCATGTCTTTGGAATTTTACCCCGTTATACGTCCCCACAAAGTTAAGTTTTTCTTTGGTGCTCAAACATCAGACATGCTTTGCACAAGTTGTTATCAATGAAATTCTGCTGGTGATTATATATATATTTTTTAATTATGCCTACATCACACATATATCTACTTTAGTCTTGCAGCTGTGTGTTGACAAATGGTTTTGAAAGTTGCCGGTTCCTTTGAGCGTCCTCTACAACAGATAAGCTTTTAAAGTGTCAACAGACTGGATGTGTAGGGCCTAGGTGCCCATGAACAATTTCTTGATTCAGTTTCTGGTTACACGAAACCAACTGATCTCGTTTGTAATTAAAACTGCAAAGAATAAAATAGCTGTAGCAGGCGAATGTTCAGCGAATCAGTTCGCCAGCCTAAATGCCTAAACGTCTAAATAAGCTTTTTACAGGGCTAATACTAGGCCATTGCTCACACGAGAAGACACTTTGTTCAGCCTCCATAGATCGTACTTAGACCATCGAACTGCAAGGAAACCTTGAAAGGAAAATGGAAAGCGATATGGAATAAGAAAATAACTTTATACCTTTTCTGTTTCTATTTGCATAGGAGTGTCGCTGACCGCTGTCACAATACAGAGGAAACAACGATTAAGAAACAACAACGAAGGATCAATCAACATATCAGCTTGCTAAGTCTGACAGTTTTGTTGATATTCACGTAAACAGGATCCTGCGTTTATTGACTTTAGTTCATGGGCTGCTTAATTCAATCTTCAGTTCAATGACTGAATCCGAGGCAGAGCTACGAAAAACGCTAGGCAGATCGTGTGATTATGTGATTTTAGGCTGCATATCAGTCCGATTCAGGACAGTTTCTCTTATAGCCTCTGGCAACTGCTCACTAACAAACAAATGCTAACCAGCAAATTGCTAGATTATCGGCACACAGCCCAACTCTCTGTACCTATTGAAAGGGTAAACAGACACTGCATTCGTGATCAGATGCATATAGAACACACAGCAAAGCTACATATTTCCATGACCCGAATCAGCTCCATCTTTTTTTCGTCATCGTGGTCTGGCATCTATGACTTCACAATGGCGGTCCTAAACTGAGCCATGCCTTTCAACCAGCAGCCCTTTAAGTGATTATTAACATGACTAGCTCATTATTTCACGTGGTCACTAATCCCCTGATCTGATCCCTTGACCCTTGCTCACGTTCACTACCAATTCTGTGTTGCATAACATTCATGAACACAACAAAAAATCACACGCTTAGAACATGGCACATGAGGTGAATTGATGCTGTATGCCAAAATGAAATGATTTAATAGCTTTTATCCTACAAGGTCTTCTGCACTTGGGTTATGTAACGTATTCCATTCCCACATTGTACGGAACTCATCTCCCATTGGCGTCAGAGTCTCCATGTCATCAGATCCGGGGAGCTGCTCCAATTGGTGACCTGGAGGAGGGAGGGAGAGAGGGGAGGGGGAGCACGGTGCTCCAATTCGAGGCGCTCCAGTCCATCCAGCGCCTCCCGTCACTGGCCACGCCCCTGTGACGCAATACCTCAGCGCTGATTGGTCGGTTTGCGTGGGACCATGTGGGGGAGGGGAGGGGAGGGGAGGGAAGGGGAGGGGAGGACTCGAGAGGGTAGCCAGCGTGGGAGACGGCCAGATGCCAGTGCCGGGAGGATAAGGCGGGAAGAATATGGAGCAATTACACCGTGTTAGCGACAGTTGACCAGTCACACTCTAGTCTCAAGTGCTTCCTGCTCTCAAGAATATCGGAATAGAGAGATTTTCTATCGAGACCGATCATTAGTCACACTCACATATACAGTGTCTACATAATACATATGCAGTACATATGACCTACGTTTGTTCTACAAGTAGGTAAATGGATGCAAAATAACGCTAATGCTTGAAGTGAAGTGAAGATACAAAACAAGATTGAGGATAAAATTAAGGTGAGCCTGATACGTTTTGGAATATGCTATTATTCCATCGCTGTCATGCTTCATTTTCATATTTCCCCACGGCATCAAGGCAACAGCGTTTAACGCCAACCAGACCTACCCGAAAAAGCAAAAAGGAAGCTACACAAACTACCTTGTACTCTGGGAAGATTTCCAGTCTTGACAGATCATCCATGAATTTTACAGCTTTGCTGGCACACACAAACGAAAAAAGAGCAACATAACTGTTTCAGAACATGCATTATCGAGATTACTTCCGAGAGAACAAACCGCAAAGATAAGCTACACACCCAAACCTCCCGCACCAGGTAAAAGTTCAACGTTTTGTGATAACGTAACCCATCGCACTGCTCCATGTTAGCCAGGGCGCGCGGTGGGCACCGGAGCACGCCCCATCCGGCGCACAGCTCGGAGGAGGCCTCGACTCCGGCGGGGCTCAGCGGCGGGATCCCGCTGGTTCTACATGCGCTAATCGTGTCAGACTGGTTCCAGCTCTCGGACACCTATCCAGATCACCTGGGTGGCGTCACACAGCACGCAGCAGGCCGTATATAAGACAGACAGAGCTCTGCTTAGGCACCATTCTACATCGGACCGACCGACCTACCACCGACATGAAGCTCGTAAGCAGCCGGGGCGAGGGGAGCGGTGGTGTGCCGGCCGCCGGTGGTGAAAACGCACAGTGTGGCGAACTGGGACCTCATCTGGGACTGAACGGTGGCAGCTGTAACGGCTGGACTGTGATCTATGGATCTATTTGCAATCTGGCATTCATCGGGATATTTTTCTTCAAGCTGCTGGATTTCTAGACTTCTGGATTTCCTGCATTGCTAGACTTACAAAATTAACCCATTCATAGTACAGATTGCAAATGAATATTCCTTAGATGCGTTGCCGGGAATCGTAAAAGTGCATCTGAGTGTTCAGTGTCTGACGTGTTCTGCTTCCGTTGACAGGTGATCGTCCTGTGCCTGGCCGCCGTGGCTCTGGCCCGGCCCCAGAGTGAGAGGGACGCCCAGATCATCCTGTACGATCACGAGCTGAGGGAGGACCAGTCCTGGGACACCGCGTGAGTATACTCAATGACAGACACGCAGTAGAAATGACCGTTAACTCTACATTTGTAGAAAGTATCATTCCGTGATGATGATTTCAAACCTTCATTCATTCTCAGGAATGATATTTTAATGAGAGAAAGTAAATGTTTCGCACTCCGCACATTTAATTTTATAATCAAATAGAAAGAAACAGCACACAAATGCATGAAACCCATGCGCATTGCGCATATTGATTCGGCACTGGTATAACCTGTAACGTAGATAAGGCAGTACCTAACATATTTCTCGACCTCTGCTCACAGTTATGAGACGTCGAACGGTATCGCCGTGGAGGACTCTGGCATCCAGTACCCTGGAGCCGAGCCGGAGACCGGCAACCAGGTCAAGTCGGGCAGCTTCGAGTTCAAGCACCCTGACGGCACCATCACCTACCTCTCCTACATCTCTGACGAGGACGGCTACCGGCCCGAGAGTGACGCCATCCCCACCTTCAACGGACGCGTCGACATCCAGGACGCCTACCAGTAAATACCAGGAACACAGTCGAGAAGAAAAAGACAACTTTTTAGAAGATCCATCGCCAGCCTGGAATTGGCAATACAATTGTGAATATTTTGGCTTTGATCAGTCTGATGACAAAAATGTGACCAAAATCATGTCTGCGTGAAATTAGCACCATCCATCAATGCCAGTGTTTCTATTCGTTCAAAATGATGTCGGTCATTCTCATCATTTAGTCCCCCAAACCTACCCACATTCCTACGTCTCGGCCGTTTGTACTTACCAGTATCAACTGTATCAGCTGCCTGTGAAATGGTTTACTCTGTGAAATGATTGTGATTTACCGTTTTGTGCATATTTGACCTTGTGTTTATAATATACCGTGTAACTGTACACTACCGTTTATATTAGTCATTTTATTTCTCGTACTTCAGCTGGCGAATTTCATTGGATTAGGAGTGATGGGAAGGGGAATAGCGGACGGGAAAACGGACTAAGGCAACCTGTTTTGAAATGACTCACCAAAGAACAAGCTTGTCGCTTTTTATTTTGCAAGATCGATTTCAATACTAGTCCACTGGTTATGATAAAAGATCATAACCATTGAGCCAGTGACAGTAACAGGTCGAACTTCAAGGTTTTGAACATTCTTTTGAAAAATATTACGACTAAATGAAACTCAACTGGCTACATCTTTGCTTAAACGCTTGAATTTGTCCCTACCTATGTTAAATTTCTTACTTTATTGAAAGAGCAGACCCCGCGAAGACAAATATGCCCCGAACGCTCATAGTTGCTTGGCAACGGAACTCCAGTATGCTGAAATTACCTTGACACACAATAACTATACACTACGCACTACGTAGTATGCACATGATGCCTAACAACTTTGAAACATGAGCTGGTTGATATGATAACAACAGAGAGCATCAGAGGCTATCAAACAGTTCATAACCAGTGCCATCTTTGTGCAAACAGCTTGTGCGCAGCACGAATTGTTTAAAGTTGTTTATGTATTTACAAGTGACCTTTAAATGTTTTAATAGGTATACATGTCCTCCATCATACAGCGTATTACCAGCAGTCGCTAAATATCTGCTTCTTATCAGTAACTATTAGCCGTTGTCACGACGGCCATCTGGTACACATTTGGTGCACGTCTGGTGCAGATCAGGTGCATATTTTGTCAAATTAGGTAAGTGTGTCTCTTAGTAGCTATCAGCTAGGGTTGCACTAATTGCTTATATGCCTGCTTTGTCATATTAACAGAGAGTATCATCGATTAAAACACTGAAATAAATTCATAAAATAAAGATATTTGCTGTAAAAGAGATAAGGTGCAGATTTGGTCAAATTAGGTGCACTCGCCGAACAGCCCGTCATGAAAACGGCTATTATTACCCAATCTTTTCAACCACAGCAGCGCCCGTTGAAGCTCGCCACACCTCTGCCGCAAGACGTGCCGCCTGAGCGTCTTATCCTACTCGGCTCGGATGTGAACTCTGCCGGAGAACACGGGAATGGCCTCTCCCTCGGCTCTGAACCCTTTCTCATCGGCCACGTAGGTGATGAACGTGTATCGGCCGTCTGGATGGGCGAACTCGTAGCCTCCCAGTCGCGTCAGGGTGCCCGTCTCAGGCTCGGAGCCTGCCGTGAACACTCCCGTGTCTTCGATGGTGATTTCGTTTGACGTGTCGACACTGCGGAAAATGAAATTGGCACGGTTAATGATAACGATACAGGAAGTACTAGCGGTCACATGTTTGATGCATGGCTTGGTATTTATCAACCTGGATGATCGAGCTTATTGACAAATGATATTAAATGAATACTTCCAACCTCACTTAATCCGTATCGTCTAAGGCTGCTCAAAACTCAAGGGATTACGAGATTCTATATCATTCTATTGATTTATATCAGATATATAAATATATTATTCTAGGCTGCTTAATTCCTGTGGCAAACGCCTTGTCCCTCTTAGACTAGATTAACGTTTCACGAAGCCGAAAATAGTTTTTGGTACGCTCTATAAAAAAGAACCATTAAGATCACGCTCGCTCGCAATGTAATAACAAACGGAGCACTCACAATGTTTCCCAAGAGCCATCTTCAGCTTGTTCATGTTCGTACACATTTATTTTCGCACCTCTTTCGTCTTGAGGTTGAGCCAGGACCGCAGCCACGGCCCAAACAACAAGTACCTGGCAAATCATGTCAAGGGCAGTGATCGTACACCGGCGCCACAGGCATTAAAACGATGGGGCTGAAGCCGAAAACTAATTAACCTAAAGATTATACTGGCCATAGATAACATGTATCCAGTATCATGTTGATAACATGAACATGAATCATGATAACATGAATCCTGTTATCTATGTACAGCCCTCTGCAAACTGCGTGGTAGGGATTCTTTTTTCGACAAAACCGAGAATATCGCGGATACTATGTTATCGGTCACTCAGAAATCGTAACAGCTAGACGCGCGAGACTCCGCACCTTAGATGGGCATTACCATCGTATTCATTTTCCATCCAGTTTGGCAACAAAACCCAAAAGTTTATATTTGCCCCCAAAACAAACTGTTGCATTTTGTTGCCACACAAAGCATATACTTTGTTAAGTGATAGACCCAATCGAAGGAGTGGAGCATGATGCCTCTATTTGCAATGAATTCCGACCGACAGACCACATAGTCTTTGAGTTATTACCAGTTTTGTCGAAAAAATAATACCTACCACGCAGTCTGCTGAGGCCTGTACCTAATGGCGTATCGAAATTACTCATTTCACCAGTTGTGTGGATTCAATTCAATTATAATTCTTTTTTCTGAGTTGAACAGATGTTCAACCATTTCATCGAGGTACAATGTGCTACCATGTTCAATTGGAAAGCCAGACGTTGGGCATTTAATAAGTGGAAGAAGCGAGCTAAGGTATTTAGTGTAGTATTTCGACAGCAGTTCATCTCCGTAGCAAACAAACCACGAATCTGGATCACCCTGTGTCGAGGTCACGAGAAGCAATGGCGTCGCAAATGAGCTTCATTATGAAACGCTACGCATCATTCAAAACAATGCATGCAGAACAAGTAAGGCAAGACAGGCTATACGATCCCATCAGCCTCGGAAGCCGCACCCGTCCTACATGTGAACAAAGCTTAGTGACAGCTCGGTGAGGTCGAGAAGTGTTCTAGGCTCATATCGCTGGCATGCCTGTCTAGTGTCTTGCCATTTCAGCCTTCAGGCTCACTTTAGCCGTCTAGCCTCAGCAATGGCAGAGGCGGAACACACGTTCTTCCTTACGTTCAAAAAACGTCTTTCAACTTACCGGCCTCATGTTCGCTGTCTTCTCTGTGAGGCCGTACAACTAATCCTGGCTTTTGTAGCGACTGAGTAGTGCATGGTGTTGACGTAACTTGCTACTACTCAGAAATACCGATGGGGAATTATGAACGATATGATGAATCCAACAATACCTAAGCAAGCATTCTTGTTCATTAATCCTTGCATGATTCCGCAACAAATAGCTCTGAGCCGATAAATATGCTTCTGCGAGAGTTGAATTAAAAATATATTAGTTTTGTTTTCAATTAGCCTGTACCAGCTAATTTTAAATCAAACTTTCCGGAAAAAAAAATTAAGCAACAAGTCCTCGAAGACAGGTAAAGGCATGTCCCTTTTATGATCTACACACTGATCGGAAAAGCGATAAATGACAGCAGGCTGATGCTTTTACGCCAAAATGCCTAATTTATAACCCAGCTGACGGAGTTGATGAGCTGGGCCCGTCTGGCCGGCTGCGGTCTGATCCGCCCAATCACAGACTGGCCCTCCACCACCGGGCTGGCTGGCGTCTGCCTCCCTGGCCGAGACGGGGTCACCGGCAAGGACAGAGGGGGCTGCCGAGTGCACGCCGCCCGCCGCTCAGCGCGTATAAAAGGCCGGCGACGCGCACACACGTCACTGCTCAATCGACAGCCGAACGAATCACCATGAAGCTCGTAAGTGGTCGCAGCTGGAGGAAACTTGGAACTCTGGAGTCGAGATACGACTCTCGGTGCTGCAAAATGTGTGAAATTAATCGCAAGTTTCAGTGCATCGTTCTGACAACAAGCCGCTTTTTTGTTGGTCATTATTGCTAATAACCTGCGATTTTCGCGGGTCGCCGGCGGGCTGTTCTTTCTGAAGCGTCCCAAAGTCACGGAGGCACGGCTCCAACATAGAGCTTTGTTCTGATGCGTTCGTTTCTATTCTGTTTCAGCTGATCGTGCTGTGCCTCGCCGCCGTGGCTCTGGCCCGGCCCCAGAGTGAGAGGGATGCCACCATCGTCGACTACGTGAACGAGCACCGCGAGGACAACTCCTACGACTTCAGGTGAGCCAAGGCAGATGGTATAACATCTTTCATTCGAATAATGTTTCAGGAGCTCCTACCATCCGCAGTTGTAAGTGATCATTCATCCTCAAAATTAGTTTTGAACTGAAATAGCTAAACCGGAATCCCTGGCTTGCAATTACCGGTTTGAGCACTCACAACATCGAGAAAGTCCTGAAATCGGAAAAGGTTAATTTCAAAGTCTGCAGCACTCGAATTCAAAGAGGCTAATGAATTTGAATGCCCACTCTGACTCTGTGACGTCGGCGCAGATCTAGCGATTTTAAATCTTATGCTAAAACCTTGGCAAAAGACAATTGCTGCTGTGGTGGCATATGCTGCCTTGCGCGCAACATTATTGCTGTTGCTTCCATTATTGCTCCCAAATGACATCATAGGAATAGTAGAGGCTCGAAAATAAACAAAAATAAAAGTCTACTATCTAAAAAAAACATCGAATATTTTTTTCGGTAAAATTTTGTAGATATTCATTTTTGCTCTTTCTGAACCATGGAGCCACTTAACACTTTACGCCAATTCATTAACTTTTTGGAAGGTGAGAGGGTCTCTTTAATCAATTTTCAGTATATTGTGCTAGATCGTAAACATATTCAACTGCAGCTAAATATTTCTGCAAGAAAATGCTGCGAAAAACAGAAACATGGCTCATATTTCAGTACTTGCTTTGGGCTGACTCTTATCTCCCTCTTCGCAGCCTGGAGACTTCTAACGGCATCATCCGCGAGGAGTCTGGCCTCTCCTACCCTGGCGCCGACCCCGAGACGGGCAGCTACACCCAGTCGGGCAGCTACGAGTTCACCCACCCTGACGGCACCATCACCTACCTGTCGTTCCTGTCCGACGAGAACGGCTACCAGCCCGAGAGTGACGCCCTCCCCGTCTTCACCGGACGGGTCGACATCCAGGACGCCTAAATCTTAGTCACCTTTGATGTGTTCAGTTCGATGTTCTTGCGCGCACCTGTTCTTGTTTTGGATTATTCGAGAAACATGCAGGGCGCTTTGATAAAATCCATTGCATTCATCACCATCCGTCTCTGGCCAGCTGATTGTGTTCACACAATTTTCTGAAGTCTCATGTTTCTCTCAGCCTGCATCGCTTGATTGAGCCGTCTCATTATTGATGTCGGGCCTCCATCAGTAAATACCCATATTGTTATGCTGTACTATGCTTGTATTCATGCAATACATTTGCCTTGTACGGTATTTCTGTGTTTAATCTTTCTCTGCATTCGTGTTTTTCTGTTGAAAGCTCAATTTATGTTTCATTTCAATTCACGTCAATCAATGTCTTATCGATAGGCAACCAATATAAATGCGTGCTTGCTTTAACGCCACCAAAAATAACAGTCACATATAGGCTGTTCGACGAGGCAGAAGGTTGTTTTGGTAGATGATGCCGTTGAGCGCCATTTTGATGGGGCAGAAAGTTCATGAGTAAGGTGAAACGCTGGTAGAGTGACTTTTATCTAAAATCAGTCGAGTGTATTGCATTTGGCTTCCAAATTCGATGTAATGCTGCAGAGACCGAACAAAGCAAGCACAATTTTTGTGTTCTCTAGTCTACAGTCGCGTTTATATAAAAAATTGACGAGGCTCTAGCTCATTTATTTTGTGATAAGTTCGATCCAGTGATCTTTGTATATTTAGAGGGGATTATTTTGTAAATTGTAAAGCATCATTGGCATCATTTGCAACATAACTGGCGAAGCTATAATCTCGCAATAGTCCCTATGTAAACGCGGCTTTCTACGGACCGTCCGTCGTCAGAAAATACAAGGGCACCGATCAAACAGCTTCGGAATTCATATGGAAATCATAATGCGCGGAATCAGCCCACATATTTATCGTGTCAGACAACAAGCTATTTTGTTCTCCAAATCAGAAAAGAAACAAAAAACAGCAGGTAAAGCCAGAGGCAGAGTGACAGCCTAAGTTTCCTCAAGATAAATATCGGCCGTTAACTTTTTGAGGCATGGACGTGCCGACACAAAAAAGAACCGTTTCTGGCAAATTTGACCCCGTTTGACTTCATTTCACCTTAAAGATATTGACCTAGCATCATAAAATGAACGCACATTAGAGTTCTCCACCGCCCCCACGCCCACCAAATTTCGTCTTGTTGGCTTTCAAACTGTTGGCTTTAAAACGTGTGAATGATAGTGCGCTTGCTGTGTATCCGTACCATTTTTATGCGTGTGACATTATGTACGTTAAAGAAAAGTCGCGAAGGCGGATTAACGTGAATACACGAACTCGAAACTTGAAACTCCATAGGAGCTGAGATCTTAGGGGGGGGGGGGCGGGGGGCACACTTGCCCACCGTCCACTGAGCCTAGTTCTCGAAAACCTTCCACTGCGCATATAAACCCCGCCAAGGAAAAGGGGTTTCATATAAATTCGCGATGATAGGCGTGAAACAATAGCAAGCAATGGCCCTGATTGAAAGACCTTTCTGTCGAAAATATACAGGCATCGGTAAAATCCTTTTTGAAAGGATTGCATTCCCAATCCACATTCCTAGTGCCGAAGTGGATTGCATTCCTACCCGCAATCCCCTTTTTTCACTTGGATTGTGATCAAATCCACAATCCTTTTTTGCAATCCTGTTGTATTATGTGCACTAGTGGATCTGGGGGAGGGAGGGGGGCATAGGGCCGTGCCTCCATCCCCAAATCACCCATTTCTAGTACCTAGTCTTGCGAGTAATTCCTATCTAAAGCACAGGTATTTTATGGGAAATATTTTTTGCCTCAAACACTCCCACATTTAAACCTCTACCCAACCAGTGTTTTATATTTGTAAAACTCGCCCTCAAATACGTAATTTTGCCCTTCCTATGTAGTTCATCAGCGTATCTTATTTTGAGCGTTTAAATTAAAAGCGTTTAAATTATATCAAGTTTCGATGTAAAGCCCTTGATAGCAAAGTACATTAAGCCGATGAAGCCGATCTCATAATTTTCAATCGCAACAAACCATTTCAAAGCACTAATCAAACACAATCCGGATTGGATTGCAAAAATTGGAAGTATGATGCAATCCAATCCGCAATCAAATCCTGTTTTTTGGAATGGATTTCAAATCCAGGTGCAATCCACCAAAAAGGAATGCAATCAGGATTTTGCAATCCTGCAATCACAATCCTACCGATGCCTGAAAATATATCGATGGGTTTGACCCCAGACATTTGCCTGGACTTAACAGCAGCAAGAAAGAGGCATTTTCCGATGCCTTTGTTACAATTTTTCGTATTTTGTTGTATGAAAATGTTACTACCCTCGCATTTCTATCAATAAACCGGTTCAAATGTTAAAAATTTGATCAAGGAAAGGTCCATAAAAAACACCATTTGTCAAGGTCATGACTTGACCGTAAATGGGTCAAGTTGAAAATCATTTGATAGTAGCTCTGGGGAAAGCACATGACAGCTCATATACAGCACTCTAGCTCTTTTCTGTTAAAATGCAGTGACAAAACATTATCCGTTTTCACGATAGCCATCTGGTACACATTTGGTGCAGATTTGGTGCAGATTTCGTCAAATTAGGTTCAGTGTGTTTCTTAAAAGTTATCAGTTTGGTCTGTAAAAATGCTTATATACTTCATTTTTGACATTACCAGACATGTTTTTCGATTGAAGCACTAAAATAAATTCATAATGCGAAAATTTTTATTGTAAAAGAGATTTGATGCTGATTTGCTCACATTAGGTGCATTCGCCAGATAGCCCGTAGTGAAAACGGCGATTCTGAACTCAAAGATATAAATCGAAGTTTTGAATTACAGCTGGACATTAGCTCTAACCTGGTAAAAAGAGTTGTTGAACACCAGTAATAGCTCTAGCCCATGCCCGCTACATATATGATTGTTCTAGAGATGTAATTGTTCTGAAAATATATCGCGGCACCAGGCAAAGGTTACCGATTAACAGTCAACACTATCTTGGCCTTCACCTAATGCTGCACAAAAAAAGTAATGGTGAGGCTCGCAAAACCTTCATTTTTACAGACTAAACGTTCTTTATCAAAAGCTTAGTAAGCTCACATATATTGCCCTTTGTGACCCTTGTTTGAAGCAAAACTTTTTGGGTGCATCGTCTGCCACGAGACTCTCGTGTAGCGATAACGATAGGCCAGACATTTCTGATGTGGCATCAGGCATGCGTACTGGCGGGGGGATGGGGGCGCTGTATGAGCCCCACCAGTCATGTGCGAGGAGGATGAAGTATATGGACTCAGAGAAGAATTATCCGAGGACATGATACTCGTCGGCAGAGCTTCTTTGATGGCAGACAGGTGAACTTTGGAAGGCCACTATTTGAAACTAAGGCAAGGTTAGGATGAATCACTTCATATTGGGGCCTCAGCTACCTCCTACTACACATTACACTGAATAACTTCGAAGTTTTGGAAAACCCGTTATATTTCTTTTCACACTATTCACTTGGGATAATAGACGGCGAAAACGGCCACTATCAGAGGAAGAGCAGGATTATCGTTCCGTCAAAGAAAAGCATTATCGTAGTAAAGAGTCAGTAGCCTACGAATATATTCAAGAAACAATTGATGCAAAAACAATTGATCTTGAATGTATTCGTAGGCTACTGGCTATTTACTACATACCAATACCTGTCCAACATATCTACAAAAGCATTATCGTTCCGTCAAGAAAAGTTCTCACAGCTCATCTGCTAAAATGCTGTTTGGAAATGAAATGTATTTGATGAACAATATCGGACAGCGATGTACAGAATGCTTGTAAGTATGTTGAGTCCACAGGGAACAATCTTACGTTAGAACAACACACCCATAACGGTGCAGTATATGAGAAAGAAGCGACTGAAGCGCACAGCCCCAGAGCCAGCCACGACATATGGTAACAGGAAACTGAAGATTAAAATAGACAAAGTGGCTCCTGATCGTTTATTGCTGATTCAGTTCACAGCTGGAGAAACATCACAATTGCTTATCGTACAGATGTGTCGCCGTCACGGGTCTCATATCACTGACGAATCACACCACGATATAATGAAGTAACATAGCGAGTTTAGGCGTCCTGGATGTCGACGCGTCCAGTGAAGACGGGGATTGCGTCGCTCTCGGGCTGGTAGCCGTTCTCGTCGGACAGGAACGACAGGTAGGTGATGGTGCCGTCAGGGTGGGGGATCTCGAAGCTGCCCGACTGGGTGTAGCTGCCCGTCTCGGGGTCGGCTCCAGGGTAGGAGAGGCCAGACTCCTCGCGGATGATGCCGTTAGAGGTTTCCAGGCTGTAAAGAGGGAGATGAGAGTCAGCCCAAAGCAAGTACCGAAAGATGACCGTGTTCCTGTTTCATGCTGTTTTGGCAGCATTCCTTGCAGCAATAGTTAGCCGCAGTTGAATATGTTTACGATCTTGTAGCACAGAATAATGACAATAGTTTAAACCGCGGATGGTAAGAACTCCTTAAACGCTATTCGAAACACTCGATGCTGTTCAGTTGACTTGGCTCACCTGAAGTCGTAGGAGTTGTCCTCGCGGTGCTCGTTGACGTATTCGATGATCTCGGCATCCCTCTCACTCTGGGGCCGGGCCAGAGCCACGGCGGCGAGGCACAGCACGATCAGCTGTGGAGGAAACATTGGCGTGGAGTCAAACAACCTCCCCCTAGCTACATATGCCTCGAACAAGGACCAGTTAAATGATCATGAGAAAGAACGATTGAATGTGGGTACGGAAAACGCTGGTTTTGTCATTCATTCCTAATTTGAGCAAAGAAACCTTGATTCACACTAAATGAAGATTTTTTTTTATATCGAGTTTTGATAACATTAAGCTGCGCTTAGGCATTTTTTAAGGCGTTTGCTTTGTCTAGTCACAGGTCATAATCAAACAATGAAACGCTGATGACTGTGACTTTCCCATATAAAAAATCATGTCACGAAATTCATATTTGATATGAGATATGGATGGACCGGCCACTGGACACCGTGACAGTATCTTCTTTCCCTGCAGTGCCTCCACACTTACGAGCTTCATGTCTGGATGAGAGATGTCACGATTGTGTGCTGGGGTACTGCAGCTCCCCGCTTTTATAATGCATTAACGACTGACAGCCCATACAATCGATTGCCGCGGCCTTGCGCGAGGATTCAGCTCCCAACTCGTTTTTTCTCCTCGACATCTCACCAAATGTAGACAATAGGAATGGATTTAAAGGCTATATTTTTAGCAATCCAGATTGGGATCTGATAGTGCTGACTGATTAGGGATTATTTATGCCTAATTATCCCGTCTTGCGTTGCTGGTAGTATAAAACTGGCGATTCGTCAGTAGTCCTGATGACATGTGATGATGATCTAGCAGGTGCTTTGTTTGCTTTGTGTGATAATTGCATTAAGTACGGATCGGTGCGCACGACATTTGATTAACCCGCGCCCCGTTGAGGTCTGCCGAGCAACGCGCCCCGCTGGGGGGGGATAATTTGGCCCCTAAAATCTCGAGAACCACGCCACATAGCGACAAGCGGCAAACGGTGTTGGATAACCCCATCAGAGAACTACCTTGTGACTCAATTTCATTGACCTAGGTCAAACCGATGACATCACAGGTCAGGTCAAAGGTCGAATTTTCACCGTTTACAGGCATTTCAAGAATTGCGTTGTAAAATCGAGTAAAATGCATTTCATTGAAAATCATCGATTGGGCAATGTTCTTCAAACACATATTTTGCTATTTGAGGTCACTGATACCAGGTCAGGTCACAGAGGTCAGCTCAGGTCACTGAGGGTCACAATATGAAAATATCATGTGATGCATATTTTATGGTCCATTTTATATGCCAAATACGATTATGTGGGTCAGGCAGCCTTTGGGGTCAGTTAAGATTATGTTCTGGTGAAGGTCAGGGCAAGGTCAGGTCAAGGTCAGGTCAAATTAGGCCAAATTTAAAAGTTGATATTTTTTGCATAGAATGGGTATCAAATCGATGCAGCTCGTCACGGGGAGTTCAATGGTGGTCTTTTTTTGCGCTACGTGGTCTAGAATTGCTAAAAATTGAGTTCACAAATTTGACGTCATCAATTTCAAACAGTTCTTTCGCTATAACTTCGCCAAAAAAGGAGGTATCGATCTGAAATTTGGTATATTTGTAGAAGAGCGCAGGGACTATGATATATCTTTCGATTTTTTTCGAAAATCGGAAAATTTTGGGATTTTTTTGCGTTTTTCTAAAAAAAATCAATTTTTTGAGTTTTTGTGGGTAAAAAACCAGCATTTTGAACATCCGAGACGGCTGTTTTGCAGCGCCGCCTTTTGTCTACATGACCATATAAAGAACTTTGAAATTGCTTGGTAACTGTAGATTTTGTGAGCGTTTCAAGATTTCATGTTTTTTGCTCATTTTTGCTCGAACATGACCTCAGTTTGACCTCAATAACTCCTGACCTAAGGTGACCTAAGATTTGAAATTTTGTGTGAAGATGTCAAACTGATGCCCGGGAAGGTACTGAAAATTTGGCGGCGCTGCACGCGGCCGTTTTCTTGCTATTTAGGAAAAACCACAGGGGGCCAAATTGCCCCCCCCCCCCCAGCGGGGCGAGGGTTAACCCACGAGGTGTTGGGGGGGGGGGGGGAAAGGCGCTAAACGCCCCCACTTTTTCGTAGTGCATATAGCTGGCGCGTCCAATTTTGAATACCTGTAGGGAATCAATTGAAATTTGTCGTGACGAACTTTCGAGAAAAAAATCGATGGGAAAATTTTGAGTTATCGAGGTTTTGGTGAGGTGATGATTTCTGAGTTTTAGGCTAAAGACGGTATAGGTTTAAAAATCATATAAAATCACAGAACAGGCGTAGCGATAGAGACATGCCGTAAGCGCCATTAGACTGCTATTACCAAGAACAATGAAATGGCCATCTTCGATACTTATTGATTATTATTCTGCGTTTCCCCAAAGCTTGAACTGAATCTTAGCCATTTCTCGTGACTTCTCCACGACTATAATGCATGTTTTTCTTAAATTGATCTTTTTCGACCAAACACATACGCATGATTAAATGAGCGTCACTATCATGTTCTATGCCTGAAAGTGCATATAAAATAAAACATCTGCATATGCTGCGAAGTGCTAATGCTCTTTTGATTTTCGTGGATATGCCTTTTCTTACCGGATTGACTGAACCTTGACCCTGGGCTAAACTTGACTGACCTATATATGAATCTAATACTTGTGTAGCACTTATATGTAGGATTATGCACAGTCTTGACAGAGTTTATGATGAGAGGTGCCCAGAACGAGGTTCTTTGCCCATGCAACTGAAATCTCAATTTCAGGCGTTTGACCTGATCTTGATCCGACCTGTGACCTCAAAATTTAACTTTGAAGTACCCATTCAAAGCGTGTCGCCGAGTTCTTTCGTTTGCCGCCTCGCGCACGTTGCGCTGCGCCTATTGGTTCTCGAGTTATCGGCTGGGACGTTTAACGCCCTCCCCCCCCCCCCCCTACCAACTGGCGGGTGGCGAAATACCCCAGCAACTTCCGGATTAAAGTTGCATATGATACCAACAAACAATAGAAAACGCACTCATGAATATCTGAGAATAATATATTAGGCTGTAGGCTCAGATGCATTCTGGAAATGGACTATAAAAAACTCGGTACATCAAAATAATAGAAACGTTTCAGGACATTCGATCAAGCGAGAGGTCCAAACAGTACCTCAGGCTGCAGATGTTTCATTATTTGGGATGAATAAAAAATGACTGATCAGCTTGGCATGCATGCCAACGCTGCATTAAGGAGATGAGATCTAACAACCCATGAATATTGGATAGGTAGGTAATTTTTGGTGTACACGGGCTCCCGTAGCACGTGATCTAGGCTGTAGGCATGCATTCTAAACTTTGTTAAGATCAACAATGTGCCGTAAATATTTGATGTCCTTGCTCAATTCATTACTCATTTCATCAGTCATCCAATTTATAATAAGTTTTTGGCACCGATAATTGCACCAGACATGAGCTTTTTGCAAATAAGGAGAACAGTGTTCAATAAAAACGAGGAGAGCTGCTGTTGTCGGTCGGTGTTGCTAAAAACGCCAAATTGCTCCTGCCTGCTGGCCAATGCTATTTTATTTTATTTCATTTTGTGGGGTCTAACGACAGACGAATTATTGAAATTAGGGGAGGCCTTGGTCTGGGCCGGTACCCTAGTGCTCCGCCGGGCCTGAGCCCATCCAGTTGCAGTGGACAGACCACTCAGCCCCCTGGCAGCCACTGCACGGGGCCATGGGCCTGCTTTGTATGGAGCTACCCACGTCGGACAGAGGTGACCGCCAAGCCCGGAGCAAATGGTGCGAGGCGCGATGGAGAACATTTTTTCTGACCTGAGAATCTAAGAGAAAGCGAGGGAACGCTGGCCAATGTCTGTCAGGCCAATTTAGCAGCTCGTCTCAATCATCTCCGCTAGGGAGCGCTGGCGAAGCGCAGTTTCGGGGGATGCTCGCTCGGCGGCGCTAGGATCGCTCTTTCAGCGACGATAGCTCGGTGAATGCTTCTCGACGTAGTGCTATTAAGATGCTTTAACCCTATTCCTGGCACCGCTCCGTGCTTCTATCCTCAGGATACTGAAATCTTTCTCCTCCACGCCGCAACTCCCCTCCGGGCTGGACAGGCAACCTTATCTCATGCGGGCTGCTCCCTTGGAGCGGCACCGCTGCTCCTGAGGGAGCGCATCCCGTAGCCGGGTGCAGTGAGTGCCTTGGGGCTGGGTGGCCTGTCCTATGGACGGGCTCAGCCCCGGCGACTCACTAGGGTGCCTGCCCAGACCAATGTCTCCCCCTAATTCCTATCATCCTTCCGGCTCTGCAATGGTCTTGTCGACCGAAAGGGCCTAACCCAACAAAAAAAAAAAAAAAAAAAAAAAAAATATTCCTGGCGGGCTCCGCCGGGACAAGAAACTGGCGGGGGGGGGGGGGGGGCGATTCGGCCCCCCTTCAGATCTCAAAAACTACACATCGCAGCGACAAACAGTAAACGGCATCGGATACGCACGGTCAAGATCTACAATTTTTACAAAGGTCATTTTCAGGTCAGGTCAAAGATGACGTCACAGGGGTCGAAAAAGTCAAAATGGCGGCGCTAGATATGGAGAGAGTTTTTTCTCGAATAACTTTCGAATTAGTCAAGATAGGAACAAACTAAGGGCATCATCGTGATCCTCTCGTCAATCCGCATCGAATGATATATATGTTGACCTCGAAAGGTCAAGGTCAAAGGTTGACCTCAGGTCACGTGACCTCGAGGTCATCATGTATATGATTCGATGCGTGTTGACGAGCTGAACACAATGAGACCATCCACGCGTCTGTATCTTGTTCCTGTACGGAGTTATTGGCCAAAAACCTTTGGTGACCTTTGATGACGTCACATGACCTCACAGCTGCCCAACAGCAAAACAGACCTCAAGGTAGTGAAGGTTGATCGTATATGAAGTCATGTATGGTATATGGGGCCATTCCGACCCGTTTTAATGGTAAAAACAGGGAGTTGATTTTTCCCCCATTGACTTATAATGGGGAGGTCGCGAAACTGACCTGACCTTAGGTCACCGATATCAAAATTCCGAGATATTCAAATTGCACATACTGGTACCCTAACTAAAGCCTGAAGAGAAGAAATTGATCGGTCAAAAACTCTAGCTCTGGCGTGATTGCAAACTTTTCTGAGGTAGGGTCACCAAACCGCCTCTGGTGACCTGACCTGAGGTCAGATCAACTCAAAATTTTCAGACATGTTGCGTAGGAGCCTTTTAGGAAAAGTCAGAAAATTTGAGCTTCCTAGCTCAACGCGTTTGGGAGAAATAACCAAAAAACCTCAGGGGGGGAGGCTCCTGAGCCCCCCCCCCCCCCCCCCCCAGGAATAGGGTTAAGATAAGCCGGAAGTTCACCTGTTATTCAACTAGTCTGAAGTGAGCAATGGACCTATTTTGTGACTGGTTCGAAAATAAAGTGCGCAAGGCAGGCCGCAAGGAAAGTGAGTGAAGAACTGAGAAATCATCCTTGTCATCAATATCATCAACATGCTACACTACTCGTCCCCTCCGAGATAGTGAACACGACGACGACCGTCTAAAGTATCTAGGCGCCGCGATCACTGCAGCTAATCCGCCGGATTGCACTCATGTCGAGCACGTTCTTCGTGTTTCTGGCTGATGTGTAAACTCAGTGTAAACGGCATTTTATACCGTTTATTTTATCACTCAGTACCTGTTTATGTATAGGACAGATCGGTGTGCATGTCTAGTTTACAAGTCGAGAATTCGAAAACCGTTACATGATTTTTCTGGAAGCCAGTAATCGTGTTCAGCCGGAAGCAAATACCTACATACTTTGCGGATTGTTGCTAAGTACAAATCGCACTGTAACAATACGAGAGACACATGCTTAATATTTTGCTACATACTGTTTAAGACAATGTCAGATATATAACTAGAATATTTTTCTTTCATTTATGATTTTTTTTTCAGTCGCCGAGTGTTTTAAAATCAATGCCAGCCGTCTTTGCTATAGAATAGATCCTACAGTCTCCGACATTCATCAATATCCATTATATACTCCATCCACCTGCCCTATCCCAAGAACCAGCCCAATCTCATGTAATCCTTGACGATCACTTTCAGTTTCAGCCATTATCAAGCTTTCCCGTTCTCGGCTGACGGTAATCCAGCCAGAAAACCGGTGAAGTGTCAGGCGTCAGCTCCAGTAGGAGCATACCTACTCCGGGGTGACTGTGCGACTGGGGGATCTGCCCAGGTATATTGATCTGCCCCACCGCGACACTTCTGTCCCAACGGAATGGGCCCATGATTCACTGCAGTGCGCCAATCGGTGGTTAAGTTTCCCGATGCTGCATCTTATCCTCTTATCACACTACCCTAAGGCCTGAAAAGGTTTTAATAGACTGAAAATATATAACAACAACATGACTAATGATCTCCATGCTTCGGACTGAGCGGTCGTCGGTGACCTGGAAAAATATAGGGTTTCCTTTACAGCCAACTTTTCCAAGGGATGACCGTCAGCGCGGTCGCATGTCTGGTCCTCCCTCTCATGACGGTATGACATGATGCGTGGTGATTAGCGTGGCGGTGTGGTGCAGTGACATTGATTGTGCTGGCCTCAAGGCGAGATAAGCCGGTGATCTGTGAGAAGATCGTATTTTTTCAAACTTAGATACGAGCTATTTGAATATAAACCACGAGGTCTGTTCCAATACTGATGACTGAATGAGTTGTTTTCACGAGATCTATGGCCTACGGCCGAATATTTGATAGGCTAGCCTCAGGGATACCGTGTAAGCTAGTGACATGACGCTGGTTGAAATACATTCAGTAGGTGCTCAGCAATGAGCAAATATATTTCTCGTGAATACAACGAATCATCGTAAAAGATGCTGCTGGTCCCATGCCAGTGCATTCACACATGACACTCGGCATGATATAACCATTTGTGGACGAGAATGTGAGAGAGACCAAAAATAGCACTCAGCCGCGACAGCGACCATAACAGTTGCCAGCACAGCGCTTGGTCGTGGGAAACGAGGTCCAACCCGACCTTTGAAACGCGCTGCGACCAACAGATAGTATCAGAGGAAAATGCAGACCATGACACACGCCACTCAAGCACACATTCCTCCTGCCACTGCTCTTTGACAACGCGTCATATTCGTGTTGTTTAGGCGTCCTGGATGTCGACGCGTCCGTTGAAGGTGGGAATGGCGTCGCTTTCGGGCCGGTAGCCGTCCTGGTCAGAGATGAAGGACAGGTAGGTGACGGTGCCGTCGGGGTGGGTGAACTCGTGGCTTCCTGATGTGGTGTAGCTGCCAGTCTCCCGCTCAAGGCCCGGGTAGGACAGGCCAGACTCCTCGCGAGCGATGCCGTTTGACGTCTCGAAGCTGTTGGATGAAACAGTAGTTTGGATTAATTAATAATTATGCCGATGCTTCAGAACGGGTTTTTCGGGTACCTTATATATGTTTAAAGGCGTTAAGACTGCGTTGAAAACTTCTTTACTCTTTCCTGGGGAGTTGACCCTCTGGAGCGGAGTACGAGGCATGCAGACGTTTTTACCACACACGGTAGGGTCAACTCTCCTCATTTACCCTCTTACAGAGGATAAATCTGTTGTGTTACTCTCTGCTTCAGGGTAACACTATCCTCTGCAAAAGAGTAAGTTTACCCCACGGTGCGTCTACGTCTGCGTGCCTCGTACTCTCTCCCAGCAGATTAACTCTCCAGGAAAGAATGCACAAGTTTTCGGTGTGACATGATAAGTATCGAGAGCACTACAGTGCCAAGAGCGTACTGGAACTACAAACAAATTTAAAGTAATGTTATCTCGAACAGTGCGTACCTGAAGTCGTAGGACTGATCCTCGCGGAGCTCATTCACATACTTCAGGATGGTGGCATCCTTCTCACTCTGGGGCCGGGCCAGGGCCGCGGCAGCGAGGCACAGCACGATCAGCTGTGGACAAGGACAAAAATCGCGTCAAAGCGGCTGCAGATGGCCTTGGTCAAAACTTATTCATCATACAAACGAAGACACGTCAACAAAGAAATGAAGTGGCACTGATGTAGCAAGTTAACGAGGAATTGTAGTCGATAGGCGAACTACGAAGGCGCATCACCGCACTTCGTTCATGAGCACTGATGGTTTCAGTCTGAGCTTCACACAATATCCACTTCACAACCACTGCGTTCACTAGCTTCTGATCACTTACGAGCTTCATCTTGGTGTGATGTCTGGTGGGCAGTGTGTGCCGTGTTGGAAACACCCTCAGCTTATATAGTGCACCGGTGTCGACAGATGCAGGTGACATGAAACGCCGATCCCGTTCAAATCTGGACATTTTTCAAGTGTATCATCCAACGAAGGGTACAAACATGGGATTTGACGGCATCTTGGTGTTGTTCGGCCTCAGATGGTTTTTACGTGTCAGACTTCAGGGAAATGTCCTTCGGCTACCTGTATCTGCAGCAGAGCAGCGCGTTACACTACCTGTCGATGGCGACAGTGCTACACAACTGGGGCAGTGATGATCCGATGGAAACCTGTTCCGCTATTTTGTAATTCAGGTCTCTACGATACCCATTTCGTGATATATTTATTCAATGCATTATACAAACATCAGTAGATAGCGGTTTATTATGTATGTTTCGAAGGCATATAACTTCCACACATTACACCAGCTGTGTTTGTGTATTTTCGGTGTCATAGAGAGTTACAAATTCGATTTTAGCGACTCCCAACGCATTGCAGTTTAGCATACCGCAAACACTCGCTTCCATCGAACATATAATAATTAAACAATGTGGAACATGAATGGATCATCTTTTAAAACACAACTCTAGACATCTTGGATATCCACACGCCCATTGAACACTGGAATGGCGTCACTTTCGGCCCTGTAGCCGTCCTCATCCGCGATGAACGACAGGTAGGTGACGGTGCCGTCAGGGTGGGTGAACTCGTAGCTGCCCGACTGGGTGTAGCTGCCCGTCTCGGGGTCGGCGCCAGGGTAGGAAACTCCAGACTCCTCCCGAATTATCCCGTTAGAGGTCTCAAGTCTGGAAAAGATGGGAGGTGTGTGAAGTTTGAGACCAGTTAGTTAAAACTCAGCGGAAGGTTTTCTCCCATTAGTTGGAACGCTGTACTCGCTCATCCAGCATGAAAGACCAACAATCATTCTAAATTATCTACTGCCCATTGCCAGGTGCAAGAAAATTCATCTTATTCATGGACCACAGCTACCAGGACGGTTTGGATAGTATGATACAGATTGTTGAACTTGTGAATCTGTGACAGAAGCAATGAGTATCTCTATTAAACCGGCGCAACATTTCGACAGAGTTCATCTCCCCCGCCTGATGTCTGGATGTTATTATTGCTTTAGGCCATAAATAAACCGCAAATAAGCGTTCTGCACTAACCATCACCTTATATATGGACCTCTGTCTGATACAGTTCAAGTGCCTAAGTTTAAAAGTGGACAGGTACTCACGAGAAGTCGTAGTTCTGGTTCTCCCTGAGTTCGTTGAAGTAGTCGACGATGGTCGCGTCTTTTTCATCCTGAGGCCGGGAGAAAGCTACAGAAGCCAAACAAAGGATGACTACCTGCAATGAAATCGCAGTCGTACAACTCACAGGTCAAGAAGGTAAAAATATCCTACACATTTTGAAACAATGCAAAAATGTACCATATGTGCTTTATCACATAGTGGTGTCTTTAACTCCAAATAAAATGCGTGCTTATGCGCCAATGAAACGCATGTGACAAACTGAGTCTGCTTACAAGCCTCATCGCTGCCCGGTATTGAAGTGGTCCTTACCAGCGTCCAAGACTCCCTTTTGTACCGTTCGCTGCGGCGTGCGGCTGCGTCCCAGCACGCTCCTACTCCCCGTGCGTGAGGTGCCTCCGACGGTCACTGCAGGCGCGTGCCGCTGTGGTCAACCCTGCCGCCGCAGGCCGCGACAACTCGTGGCCGATCTTCCCAGTCGCGGACATAACCTCGAGGACACGCACTTGGAGGCCATAAGGACCTCTTTCACACTGGCACCTATTGTACCGTGTCCGTCATAACTCAAGCACGCTCGTTCACACACTGATCAGCCCATTTGTATTCGGTCACGGCCGGTCAGAGAGTGAGGTCTGAGTCGGTCCGTTCCGACCCGCGCAGCTCCCCGACCTTCGACCCTGCCCCCGGACGGTGGCTCTCGGTCAGCTGGCAGCCCAGCCGCGCGTGACCGGCGCTAGTCGGGAGGGACCTAACACAAAACTAACACATTAGAATAACATAAAGGGCACTGCTCATAGCAACATCGACATATCTTTAGTGTAGGTAACATGGATACTGATTACATCCCAACAGTCGCCGCCAAATAAAGAAACTTAACAAAACGAAAAGAAAGGACCAATTCATACACAAAGGTCACTGTTCACTGAGCCAGCGAGCCTTGGATTTGCTTCGTGAGATCTATGTAAGAAAATGATTGGCTATACTGGCATTCGCTAAAATAGTAATCCCTGGTAATGATTAGCAAACAGTGCATTGCATGCTAATCTTTCGATAATCTGTAGGTTCACTACTCATCCTTTATGACATTCCTGTGAGCGCTACTTTATATAGGTCACCTTATCTCATACCACAGAGACGACGACCAAACATTTCAGACCGGTCTCAGATGGAAAATGCCCGCATCAACTAACCCACCGCCCTCAGGGTCCCGGGGGAAGTCGAGCTCGGCCTCAAATGCTGACCAGTCTCAAGAGGATACTGCTGGCACGATCTCGGGCTGCTCTGCTGCGTTGAGTTGTCACTGCACGGCGTCGTCAGCCAGCGGCCTAAAAATAGGTGCCGCTAGACTTGCAAGATGGCGTACAGTACAACCGCACCACGAGACACCCTTTTTGAATTGATCTTCAAACTACACCGGGTGACATCCGTGACAGTTGCTGATGCAACTCGTTGGAATATGTCATGTAACTAGGTTTAAGATGAATATGCCGATAAGTACTAATCCAAATTAATATTTGGCCAATGAATGGGCATTTCGTATTTCCAAATAAGAAATGGGCTAATTAAATTAGATCAAATGATAATCGGGCCATGGATGCACGCGATTAGCCATAACACGTAAGCTATCATCTTTATCAAATGATGCACTCCTAGTGTGTCTTTATTATGTTTGCCTCCTCTTTTGCCTCGTTTTTAATGTTCTTTTACCTTCTGCTCTAGAAGGAAAAATGCCGACTAAATTTACTAAATCAATCAATTGTGCGTTCTCAATAGGTTCTGGCTTTTCAATTACAAAACATAGTCGCATTAAGATAAAAATACACTATTCTAGTTATTTGTCTCTTGTTGAGTGCTCTGTGACAACGGGAAAGCAAACAAATCTCACCAATTTGGATTTAAAACGCATTTGTGTGAATCTGGGTCGACCTGAGCCTAGAAATTTAACCGGAGTTGCTTCTGTAAAAGCGAGACAGTGTCAGGACGGCATATCTTCATGCCTCCAAAGCATTCATCTACATCAGTGGTGTCCAGGGCCCGCGGCAGAGAGACTTCTCGGACACTTGCTCACGCCAGTCTGTGAGAGTCTTACGGGACACCCACACCAAACAATTCGCCGTACACCTGTCGGAAGGACGTCTCTCTGGCCAAGCGCCAGTCAGAGTACCACTCAGATTTAATTACGGTTTTGGGAGCGGCAGCCACGCTGCTGCTTGCTGTTACCACGGCAGGCAGGCGGGGCTCGGGGGTGTAGCATGCCGGCGCACGCGGCCCCTGTTTGCAAAGAGCGCCCGGTCGGGGTAGTGGTGAGCGGCGCGGCGGCTGCGGTTAGTCGAGCGCCAGTACCGGTCCGCACGGGTAGCGTGCTGTTTGCAGCAGGCGACCAGTCGTTTGGTCGGCTGTCTGACCACAAACTGCTGACCGCTGACCACTGACTATTGACTGCTGGCTACTGACTGCTGATACCCAGCCTGCTAAGCGGCTCACCTCAGCCTTCAGAGAGAAGATCGCCCACCAGGGACACTGCCAGAGAGCGTCAAACCGGTACCGGTGAGCACTGTGACCGAGGGTATCCCTCCCGTGCAGAGGGGAGAAAATCCCTCCCGTGCAGAGGAGAGATAGCCGGCTAACGACTCATGAGCACTGGGCTGCCGTTACCGGATAATTGGATGATAGGTGGATAGGAGGCAATTGATAGCCAACAGTTTTGATTCCGATTTTTGTGAGAACTTCTTTAAGATATTCTGGGTAAAGTGGAGTCATATAAAGGCAAGGAAAACTTTAGATATGGTTATGGTTGGTAATGGTTATTACGCTATGCTATCTGTGATGCTGCTATGATTGGCTAGCCAAGCTAGCGTGTGCGTTGCAGTACGACATGCTCTAAAATGCGTTTGAACGGCAGTGTCGGCTTGTGATCGCTCCATGCTTATTTCACCTCATGAATTCATACTTCTGATATTTAAGGAAGGAAACACATCGATAAGTCTGATTAAAAATAGCAAGTAGTTGGTAAATTAATCTGTTTGCTCCATCTCAGCAATGTGTTACCAGCCCTCTGAAATTTAGGTCACCCATGGTCTGATTTATCAGCCATGGATAGTCGACTACAAAATGTTCAAAATGTTAAAAAATGTTCCACTCCTCAGAAGCTATCAGTTGACCGGAGCGCTAAGTTGTGCCGTTGATCACGCAATTAAGCGTGTCGATTGTGAGCATTGGGACAAAGCTATAATTTGTGAACTCAGCCCGTGTGATGCGGCACAGCCTACCACTCCAGGCAAATAATTGCCTGTGAAAACTGGAACTTCATTCTGTAGTCGATTAGACATCTGGAACATGACTGACTGTCGAATTAACACATCACGCCCCATGTCTGCAATGTGCATCCGTTGGTATAATTGCACAACGGTCACAATGATCATAACGAGCCTGTTCGAATTCCCTGTTTTACATCATCTGATAGAAAACAGGCATACACTACATGGACATTGCACTGGTCGTCTGCATTGTGCAATATGTAAATGGCAGACGACAACTTATATCGGCTGACTTAAATAGTCATTGGCCTCAAATATGCTTGCGATTTGTGTAAGCAAATAAGGTCGAATGCAAACTCAAAGCTTCCCTCAGCCAAAAAAAAAAGCTTCCCTCAGCCATTTTTCACTCATGAAGTGGTAAGACCCAATGATTTCAGCAATTAATTTAGTTGGTTTGATTGTTTGTGAACAAAGTTCACACCGACGTTCACATATCTTTGACGTTTTAGATAGACGTAAAAAAATAAAATGTTTTTTTTAATATGAGTATAATATGAGACCATACCCGACGATTTAGCTGATGGCAAGTGATAGTTGCATATTTGATTTTAAGCCTCATTTAGGAACGCGTTCATTCTTTCTTTCTTGTCAATTCCCATTGTCCCTTTCACAAGCAATTGATCCACAACAAGTGACCTCACTCAGATGGGGAAATGTCAGCAGCCAGTAAAGCTGATGCTTTTCACACTCTCAATGGATACTAAAGCTCTCAGACCTTGCTTACGATCCAGTGAATCAGGCTTCAACTAAAGGTCACGAGCGCCCAACTATCATGCATTATCGCATTGTTTTTAATCGCATGCATTGTTAGTACGACCGATATAACGATTCCATGCTGACATCATGCATTCGTTAACCAGGGGAACCGGTGTCGCCCGGTCTAAAAATAGACCTAGGCTGCCGGTTCCGTGACTGGCCATGTCCAGATCCAGAGAAACTGTCTGGCCCCAGTCCGCAGGTGGCGTGCTCGCGTAGTTCTCATGTGATCGTCTTACGACCCGCCGAGTGTAGATCTGCTCGAGACTGGGCTCCATTTTCGTTATCTTCTTGGTAACGTATTTACAAGGTTATGTGTTTACTGCGTGGTGTGTTTATAAAGTGACATGTTTATTGCGCGCGTGGCACATGTGTTTAGAGTGATGGGTTACAGAGACCTTGTGGATGTGTGTTTCTATGCGCAGTGCGTGTGTTGGGGTGTGTGTATGGTAAGGGTGAGCGCCAAGTAAGGCTCACTGTGTTTATCTGAGAAGGCGAGATTGGGGTCGTTTACTGATAAATTTGTATTCTTGTAATCAAAACATTCGGGCGCATGAGTCAATGAATTTGAAACCATTGATAATTAAATTCTTTTTACTTGTTTGGTACATCAGTTTTTCAGATCTTTCATATTCTTGCTCAGATAATTTGTATGGCTTTTTGTTGTTGGCTGATAAGCTTGCTAAACAGTATCATTTTATAATTCTGCATATTTTATAAGATAATACCAGCTTAATTTCATTTAATGCTATGGGCAATAGTTATCATCGCAGCTTGAAAATGTTGTAATAGCATGCACACCACGAAAAATAATTGTCCGATCAAAACCGTATCAAAGTCCATTTACCCATGCATGGTTTGGGTAGGCTTCAACGTCGCGCCATGTCGATGTTATTCTCTAACTCACTCCCCCCGCTCCGTATGTTGACAAATAGACGTTAACGCCAGCAAGCTTCTACCACCAGTGAACGTCCAACTCGCCTCCTCTTGGGCAGGTCATGTCAGCATTGCACTCGACTCTCTCATCGCCCCATCGCGTTACTCCAGCGCCTCATACCACGCTATTGCATCAGGGTTGTAGTGGGGCTCATTCACCCCACGGTGCGGGCCGTGCCTGTTGACGACCAATCACGGGCTTGGCGTGCCCAAGGGCAAGGTCACCCCGCTGAATTGCAAGGTCTCCCGAGCGTAGCGCCCTCGCCCCGGCTCCCTGCGCCGTTACACGTCATAGCCATTCCCCGCCCGGCTATCCGCCACAAATGCTCCTGCGCCATTACACGTCCTACACTATCCCCCCGCGCCACTAAACGCCACACACCGTTCTCCCGTACCACAAACCACCCCCACACAGGCTTCCTGCGCCACTATACGCCACAGTCGCCCCCTACGCCGCGCCTGTGACAGCTGCGCCGGCCGGCCTGCAATCTGCATTAAACGCGCGACAGGAGCCATAGAGAAAGGTCTCGAGACCGCCTCGGGTCTGGGAAGACCGAAACGGCAGATATGCACAGTGTGTAGTCTGCGCAGTTGCAGGCCGGCTGCCTTCAAAGTGCAGCAGCCTCTCAGAACAGATTGGCAAGGCATGACGCAGTGGACACGGTGTGGAACGAGCCGGAAGGTCCTGAGGGATCCCGAAGGTCCCGCAAGAGCCGATGAGGGTCCCTGGGAATTCCACTGAGAGTCCCTACACTGTCCAGGGTAACGCATTTTCGTGGTGGTGAGGGTTCCCAGGTAGATGAGCAGTGGATTGCGCAGCAGCCCAACAGCATGTTGCCAGTTTCGCTGCGGCTTACAACAGGTCGGGCCGGGGGAGGAGCGGGGATAGGGAAGGAGGCAAGATAGGGCGGTGGCCGAAATGACGGATGAGGTGGCGTTGCAAGGCAGGATAATGGGCGTTGGAAAAGGCACTTATGGATGGAACGATAAGAATTATTTTCTGGAAATGCTTAGACTTTCATCCATTGACCATTGTCACAGTACACTGAAGGGCAGACAGAGATGGAAAGTCCCTCGCGTAACTAGGAACCGCCGTCTCCCCGAGCGAATAGCCTGCACTGAAAAAAATAATGACACCTAAAAGGGGTGTTTTTTGAAGCGTACCAAAAACGCGCAGTTTTCTGGAGTCCGATTACACCCGGAATCAGACACTTTCTAGGGTATTATGACACTGGTTGAGGGTGTATTTTAACACCGTACGTCGTCAAATGATTCCCGGAATCATACGCCTTATGGAATAAAAATACACCCCAAATCAGAGTCATAATACTCTAGGAAGTGTCTGAAGTGTCTGATTCCGGGTGTAATCTGACTCCTGGAAACTGCGCGTTTTTGGTACGCTTCAAAAAACACCCCTTTTAGGTGTCACTTCAGGGAGTAATCGGATCTTGAGGGTGTATTTTGATCCCACACGGTGTATGATTCCGGGAATCATTTGACGACATGTGGTATAAAATACACCCCAAATCAGAGTCATAATACTCTAGGAAGTGTCTGAAAAGTCTGATTCCGGGTGTAATCTGACTCCTGGAAACTGCGCGTTTTTGGTACGCTTCAAAAAACACCCCTTTTAGGTGTCACTTCAGGGAGTAATCGGATCTTGAGGGTGTATTTTGATCCCACACGGTGTATGATTCCGGGAATCATTTGACGACATGTGGTATAAAATACACCCCAAATCAGAGTCATAATACTCTAGGAAGTGTCTGAAAAGTCTGATTCCGGGTGTAATCTGACTCCTGGAAACTGCGCGTTTTTGGTACGCTTCAAAAAACACCCCTTTTAGGTGTCACTTCAGGGAGTAATCGGATCTTGAGGGTGTATTTTGATCCCACACGGTGTATGATTCCGGGAATCATTTGACGACATGTGGTATAAAATACACCCCAAATCAGAGTCATAATACTCTAGGAAGTGTCCACGAACCCTAACTCTAGCCGTCTATCCTGTCCAGTAACGACCGATAACATTGATATCGACTGTCGGTCCGTGTACAAGAGCAGCTGAGGTTTTCTGTGCGTGCCCTCTGACAGCTTTTCGTTGTTCCCTGTGAGGGTGCTGGGACAATTTACTCAGGGTCGCTGTTCAGTAGCAACTGCGGGTCCCCGTACAACTAACCAACATACCCATGGGTATGTTCTGCTTCTGAAGCTTATAGGAACGATTAGCCAGACTGCAACGAGACTTTAAATGTAGCTTACATGTGTCTTCACCCTTGCAGCTACAATTTTATCTATTGACGATGACGTCTTCTTTTCAATCAGTCTTTATACCAGATATTGTCAAATGATTCTCGGAATCATACACCTTATGGGATCAAAATACACTCTCAAACAGAGTCATAATTGCAGTTGTTAACCACGTGCCGCAAATAACAATACATGCATGTCATTCTTTATTTTATATGCAACAATAAATTCCAAAACATTTGGGCACGAAATGTATGGCGAAATCTAATGAAAACTTATCGTAAGGCTC